TGTTTGGTTATTTTAATGATCTATTAGATATTGTGCACTTTACTCATCTATTTTTTTTCTTCATTTTATTAAATGTTCACATTCTGAACTCTTCACTCATACAAACATGTTCAGTGTTGAAGGTACAGAAATAGACAAGGACTGTGCTCTTGAATATCTTAACTTCTAAGAAAAGTTTACCATCTTAATTCAATTTCACTGCCTATGTTAGGAAATAGTCAAGTTTCATATCACAGTGGCGTTTCCAATGCTTAAAAAAGATAGAGCTGTTCTTTTCACAACTTTCAACCAAATTGCACATTCCCATTCTCAACCCTCCATTCTATGGGTCCCCATGGGTTTCTGAAACAAAATACTAAAGCAAAATAATGTAGGAAAAAAAGGTTAGGGAGAAACTCAGAGAAAAAGAGAATTGAAGCTTACAAAGTGTATTTGGCCAATATACACATGAGTTTTGTTACCAATTTATTGTGTGGAAGGTGACATGCTCTATAGTACATGCCTTATAGTCATCTCTACTACTAAACATCTTGCTATCTCTACCTCACCTAATAAATAGTATTTTCTTCTTGCTATTTGTAGGAAAAATAATCTGATATTTTTTGTTCTATACCATATTTATAATCTCCACCCTGTTGCTGCAAGTGTTTGGGCTAGTCCTTTTAATGGTCACATTAGCACCGTAATTCATGTTCTCTTATAACTCACCTTGAAATATTATATATTATATAATATATATAAGGAAACCTGTATTATATAAGAAAAACATGAAAGGACAGCAAACCCAACTAGACAGAGAAATGTGTTAAAATCATTGGCTGGTAATGTGTTAAGATAATATTTTGCTCTGACATTGAAACATCATGAAGACAAGGTTGAAGTTAGAAATGGCAGTTTAGAGTCCTGGCTAGCGTGGCACAGTGGATTGAGTGCTGGCCTGCGAACCAAAGTATCACCAGTGCGATTCCCAGTCAGGGCACATGCCTGGGTTGCAGGTAAGGTCCCCAGTAGGGGGCGTGTGAAAGACAACCACACATTGATGTCTCTCTCTCCCTCCTTCCCTTCCCTTCTCTCTAAATAAATAAAATCTTTAAAAAATGAATAAAACTTAAAAAATGACAATTTAGAGAAAAGAGCAAAGGAGTGAAATTGTAATGCTTTATGTGGGTTTTGCAAGTATGAATAAAGGATTGAAGGCTTTTGTTTAAAAAAATTGGCAACTGTTCATTGATCATAAAAGTTTAAGAATGTGCCTTATTATAAATATTTTAAAATGATTTATTTTCCTGCCATAAAGTGTCTGTGACTACTTACATTTTGTCTAAACTTAACTTAGTTGTGAATTCCTAAAATAGCTGTGAACAATGCAATGGGTCATGTCTTCCAGATTAACAAAACATTTGCATTATCTTAGAGCTGCTGCCAGTGGTTAAATTTGGACAATTATGTCTTAATAATTAACAACACTGTCATAATCACTACAAAAGATCTGATTAACTTTTTAATTTTCTTGTATTTAAATATCATTAGTCCATCCAGAAAATGGAAGTCCTTCTGACATAATGGGTTATATGACATGGCACAGTATCTTTATCTGTAAATATTTTCCAGTTTAATTTCTGCACAACTGGCCAAAATCCTTTATATAATTCTTTAGTTTGACCTGTAAGGAAATATGCTCAGTATAGCAAGAGTGACTTCCAACAAAAAAGTAATAACAGTTCTTACTGTTTGATGAATCTAACAATGCTTTTACATTACTTACTGTGCTGTATTTCATAAAATATTTTCAAATATGCTATTTAATGTTTGCAAAATTCTTTGAGAGAGACAAAAACAGAAATTTACTATTGTTAAAAATAAGGAAACTGAGTCTTAGAGTTTTAGTATATTGCTTATAGTCAGAGTGACATTAGGCCTCAAATTGTGATATTTTTACCCAGCTTAAAAAGTGAAATTAATCCTTGTATCTTGTCTTCAGGGAATCATGCCTTGCTTTCTAATATTTGCAATAAATATACAGGCTTTAAAATATAGTGTCACTATTTAAACTCAATGCTTTTTAAGGGCTTTCCACTTTAAACACCTTTCTCTGAAAGGGTCTAGTGCAACAAGCATTTGCTGTGTTCTCTGTGTACCAGAAACTATGCTAGGCATAGTGATTCATGCTATCTCTCAATGGTAAGCAGGTTATATCACTGTCACCTCGGAGACTGGGGAAAAAAAAAAAACAATTCCAGACTTCACTGTGAAATAGGCAATTAGAATTCAATGTTAAAGGATGTGGGTATGTGTGGGAAGAATTCCAAACAAACTGAGCAGAGCTAAGGTTGCCAAAACTAAAATAAAATTAAAAATTAAAAATTAAATTTAAAAAGAGAGCTAAGATTGTAAACACTATGGAAGGACAAAGCAGATTTGGATTTTGAACACAGGATCACCACTGTGATTTAGGAGTGAATGTGGGGCGTGGGGCGAGGGCAGGTTGTGATTAAATAACTTCCATAGCACACTTTCCTTATTTATGGTGTCAGAATCCTACATACTACATGTAATAAACTATGGAACAGGTAACTTTCTTTTTTAAAAGGTTAAATAAATGTTGGTAGTGTATAGTAATAAGGTAATAATCTCAAGAACTCTTAAGTACTTGGAAAACAGAAAATACTTATGTGAGTTTTCTACCCTACAGAGGTCATGGTCAAAAATATTAAAGTGTATGTTATATGTATCTGAGAGATATATTCATTATTAGTATATGCCAAAATGCAAAAAATAAAAATAAAAATACCTCAAATGTGTATTTATAATATTTATATAATAAAATGCACAATTTTTATTTATTTTAAGTTATAATCTAGAAATTATTAAGCAAAGAAATATAAAAATATATAGAATAACAATTTTTGTTCTCAAGTAACAGAAACTTGGACATGGATAAAAATATAACCAAAAATGCCTTTAACATTAATTAATCACAATCTTCAATAAGGTGGCTTTGCAAAACATTTGTAACAGTCATCGCAGACAATATTGCTATACTCAAGGCATAAACACTTTTCACAGCACTTGTAAAAATAGTTTGATAAGCAACTCAGTAACATTAGCTGAACATCTTCAACATCTCTTGAATTATTGAATTGATATATTTTTCCAGCCATTTTCAATGGTAAATGCAAAAAACACACACACAACACTGACTTCGAAGTTTGTGAAGAAAACAACTGCACTAACACTGACTTCAGAGTTTGCAGTATATTTCACATACAATTTACTATCAAATACAATACAACCTTATGAAACACATGTTATAACAAAATTGACAGCTTAAATGTTATGGCTTCACATTAGTCATGTACAAATGCACAGCAAGTCATGACCTTGAACCTATGCACACAACGTATGTAACGATATTTAAAAAAGAGTTTGTTTGTATATCTCAGATCAGCCACAACCTCAACAGGGCTAGCGCTAAGAACGAAATATCACAGACTGGCTATTTTAAACAACATAAATGTATTTTCTCATAGTTTTGGAGGTTAGAAATCCAAGATCAAGTTGTCAGCAAGTTTGGTTTCTTAGTTTGCAGATGATTGCCCTTTTGCTGTCTCTTCACAGTCTTTTCTCTGTGCATGCATGCCCTTGGGGGCTCTTCCTGTGGCCTAATCAGATTGGATTAGGGCCCACCCTAAGGGACACATTTTTTAAGAAACTGTCTCCAAATATAATCACATTCTAAGGTAAAGGACATTAGAGTTTCCACACATACATTTTGGGAGACACAATTCAGTCCATAACAGCATTCCATAAATTATAGTTGTCCAAAGTTTCGCCCTGTTTCCTACTTCTTCCTCCTTTATTTAACTCACTGGTCCCAAACAACTGCTGTATCTGCTCAGTTCCATTTACTCCCAAGAGTTGTTTTCCTTTACAAGTGTGGTAACCTAAGAACTTGTTTGTGTAGTAGTGCTACTAGGTAACACATTTGCATAAATATGAAGGCAAAAGAGTTTGATTGACGTCTTTATACGAGACTGAATAGGGTAAAGATACCTGGTATGTAGTCCAACTAAAAATGGAAATCTTTTCAGAGAGTTAGATGTTTTGATGCTCTTCAAAGCTATCACATGGATCACTGACAGTGTGCTCATACTAAGGTTTGGATGTAGATAATCTGTATGATTTTATGAGTGTCTGCTTTATTTTATTTTATTGTTTTACCTATTTTATATTTGGCAAATAAAATATTAAATACCACTGGACAATTTAAAATGTTATCACCTTTTCCTTAGAGAACATTCATGCTTTATAATTTGAGTCCTTCTTTACTTTTAACTTCCAAATTTTTCAAACTTATGTATCTCTGCTTTCTTTTCCTGCTGTCAGTTTTAGTGATGAAAAAGAGATTTCTTCACTGTTTAAATTCTTCTCAGTGCAAATTCCACCCCCACCACAGCAACAATAACAACAAAAATTTAGGCACCATGAGTGTAGTTTTTCTTTTTGAGTCTGACATTGTTTAGGTTGTACATTTCTTGTTAAATTATTATTGCTGAGATTCCATAACTGATTCTGCCCTCTATCAGAATCATTAGCCCTTGTATGCCATTTGAAAGACATTCCTAAAACACTGTCTGGAAGAAACACAATGAAGTAGGAGCTTTAATGTAAACTTGATGATCATTCTATAGAAAGGCCAATGGAAAATGCATGTATTTTTCCTTGTTTATTCCATTTGGAAAAAATGAGTTAAATTACTCTCTTATACACAATTTTAAATCTAGTTTTGCATTTTCATTTTATTCAGAGAAATTTTCATTTAAAAATTTCAAAGGGAAAATGGAATTTAATGTTTGAAGTTATCATCAAGAATTAATAGAACTAATTAATAGCCACCATACCTCTTTTTAATAATTTTTGTTAAGTAATAAGGGTGAAAGCCAAAATTTCTTCCAAAGTTTCAATTGTTCTTGTTTTGGTCCAATGTGTCGGTGTTGCAGGGATGAAGAACCAGGAAGCCAGCAGGTTACAGATAAGTTCCGTATTGACTGGGATTCAGTACTTGTTGACACAGATAACATCATCATTGCACGATTTGATGGCAGAGGAAGTGGATTTCAGGGCCTGAAAATTTTACAGGAGATCCATCAAAGGTTAGGTTCAGTGGAAGTGAAGGACCAAATAGCAGCTGTGAAGTAAGTGGCTGCACATATTTTTATTGTTTTTCCTATTGTGACAGGAGTTAAGTATATCATATATAATATGACTGATGCTAAGAGATTTGTATTTTAGTGATAAGACAGTATTGCATATTTTTCAAGTACCTTTCTCTCTTAGCGCCATAAGAAAAGAATTATCATACTTCTTCTGTGGAATTAGAGTTCACTTTGGATTTATGAAAATGAAATAGATCTTTATTATACCACTATATTATTTATTTAACATAATCCACAATGGCTATTATTCCCCTAGTTAATTAACAATTTCTGAGATTTCACAGTTACCATTACCATAGTGGCATAAAAGTGTGGCCTGAGAAATCTAGTAGGTTCTTTGAAACGGTATGTAGAAATTGGTGAGAATATTATTAAAATGTAGACATTCATTCAGTGGGTCTGAAACGAGATCCAAGAATATGCATTTGCTAACAAGTTGCCAGGTGATATCTAAACTACTGGACCATCACTCAACTAGCAAGATTTTGAAATTTGTGACCCTAATATATGAATAGAGCTGCAACCCCAAAAGTATTTCTGGTTTGCCTTGTGTTGTGTGTGTGTGCGCACCAAGAAAGAATTCCCATGTGTGTTTAACTAAAGAGATATAACTGTAGTTCTTTTTTCTTTTTCATTGCAGATTTTTACTGAAGCTGCCATACATTGACTCCAAAAGATTAAGCATTTTTGGAAAGGTAAATAGTAGAAATATTGTGTTTGTGTGTGTGTAATTAGTTTCCTCATCTTGCTATAAATTATCTGTATTATTCTTTAAAATATATGCATTCAATAATTTATTAATTCAACAACTATTTGTTGAGTATCTAATTAATGCCTACTGTTAGAATAACAGGGCAAAAAAGGGATCTCTTTTCATGAAGCTTACCTTCTAGAGGAAAAGTGATGGCAAACAAATAAATGAAAAATAGTTTCATATGGTAGAGTCTTATAAAAATATTAAAAAATCAATGGATAAAAATTAACTGCAGGAAAGGCCAATGTCATTAGATTTAGTGGGCCCTCTGATTAAGTGATATTTAAACTGAGACATAAATAATCAAAGGGAGCCAGTCATAGAAATCACTTAAGGCACAGCAGGAAGAGCAAGTCTATTAGGAAATCTAACATGGCTTAGCAACTGAAAGATGACCACGTGCATAGTTATGTCCTCTGTGTTTTCTGCACAGTATTTATTTCTTATTGTAATAATTTTTATTTCATGTTCAATACCATTTTAGGGTAATAAAATCAACCTCATGTAGATATTTATTAAACACTTAGTTTATATATATCACTGGGCTAGACACTATAAGGACAGAAAGATGGATGGAAGAAGATCTTGTACTGTTTGAGATGAAGCAAACTCTTGGTGCTTATAGATTTAAATATGAAATATTTTCTACTATATGTAAGTGAACTGAGAGACATGTGACATGACATAACTGGTAATTTTTATGGGGCATATATTTTGGTAGTGTACACTGACAATAGGTACATAAAAAGATACTTAACAAATGAGCAAAATGTAAATCAGCACCATTTACTCCCAGTCTTCCCTAATTAACTCGAATATCTGCAGTGCACCACTGTTTGCTGTATTTAATTCTAGCCACTAGTAATATTCAAGGTGTCAATAAAAATACTTGTGAACAATGTTACCACAACATAAATGCAAGCAAATAAATAAATGAAAGACCATCGTTAATGGTAAGGGTATTAGCAGGAAAAAACACAAAGATATCTAAGAAGGTAATCATTTCAAAGAAATGGACCTCCAGAGACTTTAAAATGTGCATGTAGTGAAACCTTGTCCTGTGCTCCAACATGGAAGACCATGGAAGAGATTGTGCAGTGAGGACATTGTAGTAAGTGAAATGAGCCAGGTGCAGAGGGACAGATACTGTGTGGTTCCCCTTATGTGAGGCACCAGAGTAGTCAAGTTCATGGGGACAGAGAGTTAAATATGGTTGTCAGGGCCTGGGAAACTGGGTGGAAGAAAAGAAGAGCAGTATTTAATGGGCTTAGAATTTCAGATTCACAAGATAAAAATGTTCCTGGATACTAGTTTTACACAATGTGAATACACTTGATGCTGCTGAACTATGCATTTAAAAGTGGTTAAGATAACAGTGTGGTGATTGCTGGGGGCAGGAGGTATAAGGAGACTAAATGGTAAGTGAAAAAAATGCAGTAAAGATTAAATAAAAAAGAAAAGTGGTAAAATAGTAAATTTTATGTTATATTATTTTTTACTCTATCCTCACAAAAAAGCACAGAGTGGAGAACATTTCAGTACTTAATGGTCCTGATGTATGTAATAAGTTACAAATGACTTAAGGCTTATGTATTTCAGCACTGTACTTACTGTACACATAAACAGGCACAAAGGACCAAATGAGTAGTACAAACAGTTACTGCTATGGATATTTAGAACAAGTTCACAAGGTTGTAAACAACCTCATGGAGAAAGTGAAACATGAGCTGGATGGTAAAAATTATTCAGCAAATAGAGGGCAAAGAGAACAGTCTTGTGTAGATGCCAGCTTCAGGAAAGAGAACGTTTGGAAAACCCTGAAAGAAATTGATTATAATTAATTATAGTCAGTTATAATTACTGGGAAAGGTGGGCAAATGTCAGCACTAGGGCCAGGAATTCACCATCTTTGATCAACTTCTTTCTTGATATTCAGCAATATTTGATTGAAATACCAGTTATTATTTTTTGTCTTTTTGATCTAAAATTTATTTTTAATGGTCTGTTTATCTACATCTTTACCTACATCTACATCTAGTACATCTGCATCTGCATCTGCATCTCTGTCTACATCTATATCTACATCTACATCTACATGTATATCTGCATCTACCTCTAACTAACTCCTTCCAGTATAATTAATTTTGCTAGTAGAAACTAAATGTTCTGCAGTACATTTCACTGTTGATCTTCATAATGCTTAAAGAGTAAACTGCAAAAAACTGGTCAATATTTTTTGTTTTGCATGTAATTTGTTCTCGTTCAAACTTTAAGAATTGGAAAGCAGTTCTAATCTATGCTCTCCAGCCATGCAAGCTGATTAAAAAATAGAATGATAGTATTTCTAAGAATGTCATTTGTGTGAAATAATATATATATATATATATATATATATATATATTTAGAAAATACTCTTTCCGACTTTTTTGCTTGTTGTAATGTTAAGCTTATAAACACCAGGAAAGCAATGATTAATAAACACATTGCATTTTAAAACTATCTCATGGCTATTAGAGGAAAAGAGAAGATAAAAACTTCAGCCAGCATAGGAAACTTTGGCTTTTTAAATTCAATTTCATTTCAATATTTTATAAGTGCTCTATAGGTAAGCAATATTTTATAAAAATAAAATAAAGTTGTTAAAATTATATAAATAATACAAAAATGCTTTGCAAATAGAATAGACATAATAATTGTAATGAATGGAAAAATATGATCATTGAGCAACCAGTATAAAAGCAGCACAGTTGAAACAGAACAGACTATAGTATTGATTATTTTTTATTTAAATGAAATTGGAAACATTCTCTAACTCAGGGGTCCCCAACCTCTAGGCCATGGACTTGTAAGGATGCATGGCCTATTATGACAGGAGCCACAGAACAGGAGGCAAGCTTGAATATACTGTGATTGAATCATCCTGAAAACACTCCCACTCCCAGTCCATGGAAAAATTGTCTTCTACGAAACTGGTCGCTGGTGTCAAAAAGGTTGGGGATCAATACGATGTCGACCAGTTTTGGCATCTTTCTGATAGATCTGAAGTGTTTTCAGAATTAAAATCACTATCTTTATATCTAGCTTACCCTCTTCTGGGATATATTTTCCAGAAACATTTCTATTATTCACTTTTGCATTCAGTGAATAAATATGAAATGGTGGTGAGGAAGGTGAGCAAAAATTTAATTTATTCTAATTAATACCAGTATTGATTTTCATTTAAAAATAGAAGTCATGTCTCTAAAATAAATTAAATTAAAGCAGCATTTTGGATTAGGTTCTTAAATGGCACAGAGAAAATAATATTCAACAGCTTTCACTATCATTGTTTTAAAGAGTATTTAGCTTCATTAATATCAAAATTTCATATTAAAAAAATAGTAAAATACAGCTCCATGTGTAGCAGCAATGATTTATAACCCTACTTTCACTTTAGAATCACACAGAGAGCTCCACAGCCCATTTTCATAGATTGAATTATTTTCAAGGGTATTGATATATTTTTAAAGGTCCACTGGTCTAGGGAATGCTCACTAAAGCTAGGAAGATGTTCTGGTTTGTTCTTTACTATGTTATTATGCTGTAAGAACTTGCTATTCCAGCCCTGGCTGGCGTAGCTCAGTGGATTGAGCATGGGCTGCAAACCAAAATGTCGCAGGTTCAATTCCCAGCCAGGGTACATGCCTGGGTTGCAGGCCATAACCCCAGCAACCACACATTGATGTTTCTCTCTCTCTCTATCTCCCTCCCTTCCCTCTCTAAAAATAAATAAATAAAATCTTTTAAAAAAATGTAAAAAAAAAAGAACTTGCTATTCAAACTGCGGGCCAGCAGCATAGGTATGCCCTAGGAGTTTCTAAAAATATCAAATATTGGGGCCCACACCAGACCTACTAAATTAGAATATTTATTTTAACAAGATTCCCAAGTACTTTGAATGGACATTCAAGTTGAGAAGCATTCTTCTAGGATCTGCTTCTCTTTCAACCTGAGACACTTTGGTTTGCAGCCCATGCTCAATCCACTGAGCTACACCAGCCAGGGCCTTAGAGGGCACCATATTCTTAGTCCTGGAGATAATTAACCTCTAGGAATCACGTTAAACTGAGGGAAAAAACATAATGCCAATTTATTAATTTACATTATTTATATATGTGATAATACAGTTGTTCTGAGGGTTAGAATACTCAGCTATTCTCTCAAAGTAGTCATATATATAATAAATAAATGATATATGATATATATGATATACATGATATACATATATCATATATATATATATGAAATATATAATCAGTTGAAGTTTGCTTTGGCATTTGTGGAATTAGAACCAGAAAAGTTATTACCTAAGTTGTAATAATCTAAAATGCATTTCTCACAATGGGAATAGTATTACTCTGTGGGAAATACTTGAAATAATTTGAATGTGACACCTTTGTCTCATCTCTATTTTAAAGAAGTAGAAACAATACACTAAAAATTCTCATTCTAGGGACAGAAATTTTAAGGGCTCAGCATGCTTTCACTCTATACTATTTATTTACTTAATTTGCATGATTCACCATGCCCCTTTCATACTTCTGAAGGGGAACAGAATATGCCACAACAGAATATGCCTCTTTGGCAGAAAAATTATTTTGAGCTGATTAATTTAAGAAACAACAGACAGTTTTACTCAGAGTTGAAATCACCTTTTTATGAGACATTTACATTTATAAAGGCAGTCTCCATTTGTGTGTCTCTCTGTATCAGAAAGAGAAGGATGACTCTAAAATCATAGGAGACTCTTAGTAATGGAGAAGGCACTGACTTCAGTGTGTATAACAAGCCTTGTTTATGGTTCTTTTCTGGGTAACCTCATGTAATAGACCTCCTTGTACATTTTTGTTTAGTTGAAGGTAGTATTTAAGGTGGTGTCTTGAGCTACCTCACAGAATTACTCAGTTTATCTGGTTATTTCTAATGTGTACCTGAGGTACACATGTAATAAACTCCTGTTTGTTTTTCTTTTATTGATTTGTCTATTACAAGGCATTTCAACCAAGAACTCAGAAGGGTAGAAGGAAATTGTTTTTCTCCCCTCCACTTCTTTCTTTAGATGTGTTAGGAAAATTAAGCCTGTTACTTTTAAGTTTTGCTAATCAAAGGTTATTTTTGTCTCTCTTAATGAGATTGAGCAAAGAATTTCTTGATGACTTTATATAAAAATTACACTATAAAAGATAATTTTATTTCACTTATCTCCTAATTGTTGGGGAAGATTTGCTCAAACTTCTGGGTACTAGGTGAATATTCCCATACAGAATTGATATATGTAGGGTATAAAAATTAATTTTCCCTGTACTCTTCTAAGTTCTTGGCTGAGGACTGTGTGTATTAAAAAAACAGATTAAAAAGAGAAAAATGAAAACATGTTTATTGACATATATAACTCCTGTCTACAGGGGAGATATCCAGGGCAAAATGAATAGCTCTGTGAGGTGGCTTAGAATTCAGGTTTAAATTACCAACTTAATAGGGAAATAAGAGAATAGATGTGGGCCTTTTAGGAGAGATAAATGCTTGTTACACAAGATGAATGGGACCTTAGCAGAATGAATAGGAGATGCAATTTGTGATCATTTTTTTCTGGGTTGGTTGTTGACTTCTATTCCCAAGAGTCAGTCCTCCCTGGATTATGTAAATCCTGGGGAAGGGACCTATGACAATTGAGTGCTTGTTAGATGATCTGCCTTTAGGGGAGTTCAGAGAAAGGTTCTCCCTGAATTGGCTGTTTTTTATGTACCTCTGAGCTCAAAATAATCTATATGCCACAGTGGAATACTTTGGAGTGGAATATTCTGCTACTCTTTACATAAGTTCTCTGTCACTTTGGTAATGTCTGACTTCATTTTGGACTTTTATGTACCAATATTTAAATGATGCTCCAAATAAGCATACACAATTCTGTATGTATTATCTCATGTGTTTGGTGAGAATGGCATATTCCTATAGCAGTAAACCATACTAGATTCATCTGGAAATCTTTCAAAAGTAGACTTTATCATAGATGAATCACTTCAGAATTTCTGGTGCTAAAGCTTGGGTGTTAATATTTTTTAATACCTCCTAGCATACTATAATGTCCAGCAAGATGAAGAACATTGCCTAGACACAGTTTAAACTTACTTTCTAAAATGAATAGATAAACCAGTATGTCATTCCCTTAGGCTACTGTTACTGTAATTGTTAAAGTCTCCAGTGAAATTTTTCTGGCAAGCTCATGGGCTGCAACAGAAAACTAAACATCTTGATTCATTTGTTAGGAATATATAATTAAATTAACTCAAAACACTGCAAGAGGATATTTTTAAATTAAATTTAAACAATAACACAACTCATCTAATTAGCAACATTATTTAACATATCTTTCCTTCAAATATTTAATTGTATGAAGTTTACAGCAGAATCTATATTTATGAGGATGGATTCAAAATATTTAATTCTCCCTTCTTAAATCTACATAACTATCATTAATATTAAATGATTCTAAATATAATATCTGATTTTTCCCAAATGATACATGATTTAATAAGTACTGAGTTTACCTAGGTTAAAATTGTTTGGGGTGCTTTGGTGATATTTGTTATGAAATCAAAGAGCAGAGCTTTGACAGTTGGTGATTTTGTATTTTACCTAAAATTATTAAAACAACTCATTGTATAAAAGTGTAAACTCTTATCAAAAATTTTATCTGTACAAAGTGACCTTAGTATATAGTCTTTGTTCACATTTGGGATAGGAGATATTCTGATGTGCATATTAGCAAACAAAGTGATCAAAGCTAAAATTATCTCCAGGAATAATTGATACGTGTATATTTTTTCAGGGGTATGGTGGCTATGTTGCATCGATGATTTTAAAATCAGATGAAAAGCTTTTTAAATGTGGATCAGTGATTGCACCCATCACAGACCTGAAGTTGTATGGTGAGTACTTCCTATAGAATGACCTAATATAACACATTGATTTGTAGAAAAAAAAGTCCTAATGCCAAGAAGCTCAATTGAACTCACTTATGTGTTATCAGAGATGTTTTCAGCTGTTTTTCTTTTCTCTGATTCATTCAGTTTTACTGGAGCATAAAAGTTAAATGTGAAATGTAAAAAATAAATAATTAAATATTCTATTCCAGTGGTTTCCAGTTTGTTCTTAAATTTCTCTTTTCTTGGGTCACAGCCTCAGCTTTCTCTGAAAGATACCTTGGCATGCCATCGAAAGAAGAAAGCACATACCAGGTAACTATTTAAAAATAATGAAGAAAGAAGAGTATTTTCGTTCTAAAAACTCAGTCAAAATGCAAAATTACATAGGTCTAAGTACAAAGATTTTTCTGTTTGTTTTTTAATAGGCATCAAGTGTGTTACATAATATCCATGGCTTAAAAGAAGAAAATATATTAATAATTCATGGGACTGCTGACAGTAAGTACTATATTTGCTGCTAGTCATTGATGGTGTTTGAACTTGAGCAAAGGGGTACATCCAAAGACTTGCTTATGGGGTTCCTATAAACCAACTGAAGAAGAGAGCAGAGTTGCACAAAATCTGATTTATGATGGGAAGTGGGGAGAAGGAAATCAGGACTAAGAATAGAGGAAGTTATGAGCTTCAGTGGCAGCACTGAACAATCAATGTCCTGCATAATAGAAATGTTTAATCATTGCTGTTGAACACAGTAGCCACTGGCCACATATGGTTCATAAGCACTTGAGATGTGTTTAGAATGATTAAGAAAATGGATTTTTAATTTTAATTAATTAAAATTAATTTAAATTTAAATAATCACATGAGGCTAGTGACCACTACTATGTTGTTATTCAATATACTTCAAAAGGAAAATGAACTAAAACATCAAGATAGGAAGAAGTTACCAGCACTGATATGAAATTCTGAAGAGGCTATGCACTTAAAAAGTTAAAACAAAATCTTTCATATCAACTCTCATTTTTTATCACATTAAATATTGGAGATGTATGTGACTGATATTACCAGTAATAAATAATATCATTTTATATTTACACAAATTGTTCAGGACTCAAAAAAATTATATTTTATTATTCTGTGTAAAACTTTACAACAGAGGGCCAGATATTTTATCTTCCCATTCATAGATGAGAAAAATCAATTTCAAGGAGGAAAATAATTTATTTAAGGTTACCTAGCAATTGAGCAAAAACAGTCAAAGCCTTGAGTCAATTCCCTGAATCTTGAACTTGTTTTTGTTAGTTCACTCTGTCCTGTCTCAGTATTTTTACTCTATTTTGCAAAGTATATAGCCAAAAAGATGTTACAGCAAAGATCATAGCAGGTCTAGAGTTTAACTTTCAAGCATGTCAGGCCAATGTTAAATCAGTATTCAGTTCAGTATATGAGACATTTATATATATATAATGTATATAAAATATACTGTACTGAGGCATATATGGGACTATATATGTCTCATATATGTGTGTTTATATATATAAACACATACATATATATATGTAAATAGGTAAATAGTTAAATGGGGGACAAGATGAGACAAATCTCTTTCTTCCTGAGCTAGAATTCTGAATAATTTATGTAAGTATTCCCTCTCCCTCAAATAGGCAAACTTAACTCTCCTCCTTCTCCACTTTGGAGTGGGTTGAAACTAGTGATTATGGGGTTTGGAGAAAGAGTAACTTTAAGCATAGAAACTAACAAATACCATTCAGCCAAGTGGTCAATGTTAACATCCACAGTGACAATTCACAATGATAGTGTGTGCCCTTGATGTGATTTCATGAGAATGGCACTCTACATCCACTCCCTAGTCCAAGAAATAAAACAACATAACCCCAGTCTAACAATGAGAAAAAAATCAGACAAACCCAAATAAAAGGCAGTCTACCAAATAAGTCAATACTCCTCAGAACTGTCAAAATCATCAAAAACAAAGAAAGTCTGACAAATTCTGACAGACCAACAGAGGTCAAAAAGACATGATGTCTAAATGCTTCCAACTTGTGACAAGTGTGCCATAATAATGTAAAATCTTAACAACAGGGGAAACTCGATAAGGGATATAGAGAACTCTTGGTACTGTCTGCGTAACACTTCTGAAAATCTAAAACTACTTTGAAACCTTTAAAATATACCATAGATGATATCTTACCTGTTCTGGGTAAACAATAATGAAAGAGAACACAAACATTTTGAAGGACATTAGAATTTTGCTGTAAGATATTAAGATAGAAGATGTATATTAATAATCATAACAAGTAGCAATTATTAAGTGCAGACTATATGTCGCCATGTGTGCCAAAAGCTTTGAATATTAAATTATTTTCCACAAAAATACTATAGGTATTTCTATTTTTCTGATTTAACAAATTGGGAAAATAAGTAATTATATAACTTGATGAAAACCACACAACTACTGATTCATAGAAGGAAGATTTCAATCTGACATTGAGACTCTTGCCTATTGTGCTCTGAAGCTTCAGTTGTAGGAAAGAACTATATTCAAGATTAAATAATTTTACACCTAGCATTCACTGTAGGATATATTAGTGCTATTCAAGTTCCTCTGTCAATATGTTGCAGCTATTAAGGTAAATCATTTTTCCTATCTGACTCAGTCATGGGTCTGGTGCTTCATCCATCTGATGAAATGCCACCATGTTAAAGGAAATGCACCTATATCTTTGCACATGCACACGAATATGTGCACACATACACACTCATGCATACACTATACACACACCCCCATATGTACCTGGTGGTTCGGTCAATGACACTACAATAAACCATCATGAGTATTTTCTTCAAAAATTACCAGCAAATCAGTTAACTCAGTCAATTTGACCTTAATGTCCCTATTTAGTTTTAGGAAGGGGACAAATGACAAATATGAACAGGCTTTGCACTAGAAACTAAGCAGGAAGATAATCCATTTTGAAAATCCATTAATACATTTATCTTTGCAGCTGTATCCACAACAAGCAATGATGGAGTCCTTTCCAAAATGTTTTCCTACAGTAAACAAATGAGCATTATGAAGATCATTTCACCTCAGTTATTGCTTCTATTCATTAGCATTTTTAGTAGCTTAAATTTATATAGCAAGTCATAAACTTCTAAAGAGAGAACATGGTCATTGTCCAAGATGTTGAAAAGAAAGCCTATATTGTCTGCTATGTAGTAGTATTAATCAGTATCATAGAGTTAAAGCAGTGAAGGTTCCTAAATTATTGATAAACCTGTACCAGTTTTACCAATACAGTTTGAAAATGCTAGCTTAAAAGGTATTTACAAAAATGTGAAGATGTATGTAGTATAGGAGTAAATAGCTGAGGCAGCCTGTGAGCCAACTGTTATCCAGAGATCTGAGTGATCCACCAGGTTTTCAAAGCTAGTTAGGGCCAGTGCTGCCACTCAACCCCGGCCTGCTGCAGTGCTCATTTCAGAGATTTCGACCTTAGTTTCAGGCAGAAAGAAGCTGGAAGGAAACAGGAGAAACCAGCATGATCTGCATTAAATATTTAGCCTTTGAATAATGAGACGTGTACTTTCTTTTCTCAACATGCAGTATTCTTTTCAAATTTAAAATAAAACAGAATGTTGCTGTCTAACTGAAATTGGGCCGTGGTAATCCTCACAAAAGAATAGTAACTAGTTTGCTGAATTATTACCCAGATAAGCATTTACTGTTAAAATTGCTATAATGGTATAAAGTGTGAACAACTGAAATTGATGAATAACAGTGAATGATGTAAATCTAAGTAACACCTGTACAATAAGTAGAGACTTAATAATATAGACCCTGTTTTAGCTTTTTAACTAATGTAAAGCTCAAATTTTTATCATTATTGTATATACTGGCTTCCTAGTTAAAGCCAGATATATGTCTTTTAAATGTGTAATATACATAAAGTAAAAGACTTAATGTCTTTGAAAAATATGACATAAAATGTTCTGATCCTTATAAACATATTTCCTTCAAATATCATGATTTCTTGCAGCAAAAGTTCATTTCCAGCATTCTGCAGAATTAATCAAACACCTAATAAAAGCTGGGGTGAATTATACTATGCAGGTAAGCCACTTTTTCAAAAGAATGTGTTTATGTTTTTCTACCTAGGTTTTTTGTTATAAGATTAAAACACAGCTTCAGTGCTGCTCCATCTTCTATGCTGTTATTTTTACTGTGTTTTTAGCTACCAAAGATTGCATTTTTTTTCTTAAATACACTGAGAATGTGGATCAGCTCATGCTTTACAATTGCATAATACTCTTTGCAATGTCTTTTTCTCCTTAGGCTTTTATTCTCATTACTGATAACTATTTTTTTAAAAAAAGAACAATTCTCTATTTCTCTCCTAGTACCTTTGTTTTTTTCTCATTTTTCATCACTCTTACACTAGAAAGTGGTGAAAAGTGGTTTGAGTAAATGTTATGAGAAAAAAGGAGAGCTTAAAACACCTTTTATATCTGTGTTTTTAACCATATTTAATAAATATTTATTAAGGACTTAACAAAGTCTGAAGAAGGTATGAAAAAGGGGGAAAATGATTTCTCAACATGTGGAAGAACTAAAAGTAGTTCAACATATCTCAAACACAGGAACCACGGTTAGGATGGTGACTGATTAAGATGTATAGATAAGCAGATGGTGGGTCAGACTGAAAGCAGACAAGCCAGCATTCCTGCTGCCTGTCCTTACCAGACCCAATAAGCAGAGACAGGGATTGGATCATTATGGGAGCTTTATTCAGATGGCTGGCAATCTGAGAAGATGGAGGGTTTGTACTCTAACAGACTGTCTTACATTTCCTTTGAAGCCAGCTTTTATAAAAAGGAAAAAGTGTAGGTAAAGGATTGGAATTCAAGTGGGGAAAAAGTGTTGGTAAGGGATTTGGAATTCAGGAAAGAGGCTAATCAGTGTTTGTGTATCAAAGAGATTGTTTCTAGACCTTGAAAAAGACATTTCCTGGGTTGTAAAACTGGCAATAGGCTGAAAGAAGATTTAAATACATTTCAAAGGGACAGTGAATGAATTTACAATCTTAAATTTTCCAAATGAAAGGCTCTAAGAAAAGGGAGGCCAGGGGCTTAAAGTTTAAAGAAACTGTCTAAATTTTTTTTGTTAACAAATCTTAATTTAAATACATAAAAATTGCACTTTGTCTCAAATGTTCTTTACATATAATAAACAGGGAAAGTTTAATATGAAAAACTCAGAGTTGAATTAAGTGATATTTTCATTAGATATCATTTCCTGAAGTCTCTTTGCCATTTGGGGCTAAAAGAATAAATTCTGAGGGACAATACTTGCTTTTGTAACTTTAAATCTCCTTTCCCCTCAACATCGTAGGTCTATCCAGATGAAGGTCATAACATTTCTGAGAAGAGCAAGTATCATCTCTACAGCACAATCCTCAGATTCTTCAGTGATTGTTTAAAGGAAGAAATATCTGTGATACCACAGGAACCAGAAGAAGATGAATAATGGACTCTATTTATATAGAACTGAAGGGGATATTGAGGATCAATGAAATCTAACCTAGAGACTGTAATATTGTAGATGCTCCAGAATTTCAAGGGCAGCTTATGGAGATGACACTGGAACAGCACACTCAGAGACGATAAACTAGAATTTGAATAAAGAAGTCCAAGTCTACTGTTTTGCCAAGGGTGCAGAACCTATTTCTTTGTGTAAGAAAGAAAGGTCAGAGGGTTGGTTTCTTGGGAGAAGTTAGTTTTGCATCGAAGTAGGAATAGTGCATGTTTTCTTCTGTTATCCCTTATTTGTTCTATAACTAGTTGTTCTCAGTTTAATTTCAATGTCCACCATCATCTTTGTGTATAATGCACAACTTATCAGCACTACAGACCCTGATCTTTGATGGCTGAGCTGCAGTCTAACACTCTACTGTACCTGTACAATAAGTGCAAATCTTTCATTGTCTATTATTATGCTTAAGAAAATATTCAGTTAATAAAATCAGAGTATTTTATGTAATTTCTATTTACAAAAAGGCATTATTAAGTGGGTCAAAGGTCATGTAGAAATATGGATTTTGGCACCTTCCAAAATTCAACCAGTTATCAGTAGATATGATATCTTTAAATCAACGCATGAGTGTGTGTCTCACAATATATATATACACACTCAATAAATCTATCTTTACATGTTATTCATGCTACAAAGGATAAACTTTTGCTGAATTAGAAGAAATGCTCTTTTACAGGCTATAATGGATGCTTTGTTTAATGAGCCAAATATGATGAAACATTTTTTTCCTATTCAAATTCTAGCTATTGCTTTCCTATAACTGTTTGGGTTGTGTTTGGTATCGTTTTTAGTGGTTAATAGTTTTCTAGTTGCAATTTAATTTTTTGGATATGATACCTTGTCACATGTAAATTAGATACTTAAATATTAAATTATAGTTTCTGATAAAGAACTTTTGTTAACAATGCAATGCCACTGAGTGCTATTTTGCTCTTTTGGTGGAGAAGGCTTTTTTAAAAATACTAGGTCCTTTTACTTCTCTCTCTCAATGCAGAATCAATTCTCATTTTCATTTGTAAAAGCAAAGAGCTGGATTACTTCTTTTCCCAGTTCCTATTCAGTATTCCGTGTCTGCCCAATTCACCTTTTACTGTATAATTTAAATACTTCTGGTGAGAATTAAAACTGAAATTTTTCATTCATAGGCCAAAAATTCACAGACAGCAATGTTTGCTGTTTAACTTGAGATTAAGGCACAAAATGCCTTAATTCCTATGCTGTGTTGATTTACAGTAGTAAGTAAACTACTAAGTAACTGAGAGTGTAAAATAAACTTAACTGTATGAAATCAATTTAAGTCATGAAAACATTAAATTTGGTGATTAAAATCAGAGTATCTTCTCCCTTCATATAAGGGATTTGCAAGATGTCTAAAAGTCTGTAAAAGTTCATATGAATCTAGGCAACATAATGTATTTTAGTGGTTTTAAAATTCCTTATGACAGGCTGGATAATCATGACATCATAACACCAGGAAGAAATTTTAAAATGTCACAGAATTTCTTAGCATACCTTCCTATTTAGTCAAAGGATCAACCATCAAATCTGGGTATTTGAGAATGTATGACTCACTCATTATGGAGATATTCTGTTGTTCTGAATGCTTTGCAGTTGTGTCTTTACTGCTCCATTGAATTTATTTTCAAATGGGAAAGGCTCTCTTTTCTGAACGACCCATTTTAGGTCCTTTCAAGGATAGTAAACACATTTAAAAAAATAAGTTGCAATGTTTCCAAGGAAAATTTTTCCTATTTTATTAAAATGGAAATTTCTTTTTAGGCTGATTTGAAGTCCAACTGAAGCTTTTAAATCAACATTTTTGAATTGCAACCACTAGAGATTTTTATGATGAAAATAATTATGTTGTCTGAAAGATGTGGTTTTATTGAATGTCTATTTGAGTGACATTTAAAACGTATTTACCTTTTATTGTTCATTATTTCTGTTGTCTTCTTCTTATTATCAATGTTTATCTATTTGTCAATTAATTTAATACAGTTTATAATGTGAAAGACATTTGTCTGGAACCCACTTTTGCCTTCAAGGCCCAATAGGGCTCAAATGAACACATACTGTTTAGTAGGAAGGTGGAAATTTTTCATTTTCATAAACTCATGTTTTGAGTTTAATAATTGGTCCATTTAAACACCAGTTTTTAGAGGAATAATGCCAGTGGGATTTCCCTTTTATACATTTGCCTTTGATCATAATTCCACCATTTTATATGTATTTATGCATTCTAATAGTTTCTGGGAACCCAATAGCAAGTTGTCCAAATGATATTTCCTCCTTAAATTAAAAAAAATCAAGGTAAATGATAAAATAAAATAGGTTGGCTGTATTAAATCTTCCACAGAGATAAACACATAACTTTTGAAACTATTTTGAAAGAGAAAAGTATTTTTGTCACTAATTTCCTCCACTGAGGTCCCTGACACAACACTTAGGGACTAAGAAGATGATGTTGATCTGTTAGTGTTTTCCGATATAAGCGAGGGAAAGGGTGCCCTTCAAAACCTGAATCTCAGCTCACCCTAAATGTGTCTTTTTTGATTGGATGTTTAGCATAGACACCACCAGTGAGGGTCTTGCTGATTCTAACTATAGATCTACTAGAATAAGGTGACTTAAATATTGGTCTTTACTATAAGGAGAATTACTTAAGTTATTGCCCTCAAACACTGGGTACCCAGGATTGATTTGCTCTCAAATCTCATTAAGGACACATGGCTTCTAAAATCACATATGAACTACTTCTTTTGTCCTTCCTCACAAGCTCTCCACCTTCATGTTCTGCAGCATAAATAAAACCTGACTCCTCAGCTGTGCTTTACCTTTCACTTCCTGTCCTGGGGATCCTCTCACAATAATGTTGTCTGTCTGTTGGAACCAACAGACTCATCACTTACACAGGCAAACCCATATGATGATGTTAATATTCCCATTAAAATACAATTAATGGAAGACAGGAGCAGAAGACTATATATTCCTTTTTTTCCATTCTCTCAGACATTCTACACTGTCCTTGGAAGGCCTGTGAAACTCAGCTGCCCACACCTGCATACCCTCTTATTTCCCTATTTTGCATTTTACTCTTCTCAGTGCCCCATTCCTATTTCCTAAAATCATGTACCTAAACAAACTCCAAGTATATCAGCTTTTGACTTGGCTTTACTTTCTAGAGAAACCCTTTCTTTCCACAAAAGCTGACCATTATCAATATTATAGGATGAAGAAATAAAATGAGAATAAAGAAGTGCTTTCATTCAGGTTCAAATAAGCTGTTTCTATCTAAAATTTATTATACTCTTACTAAGTACCAAATGTGTGTTAAATGCTCTATATTTATCATCAAATTAATTTTCTCAACATGCTCTAACATGCTCTCAACATACTCTAGGTATTATGATTCCCATTTTTTAGATAATGAAATTGAATCTCAGATAAGTATGGAACATGTCCATATTTACATAACTAATGAGTGAATAGCCTAAAACCTAGCTCCAGCTAACTTAGAAGCCCATATTGTCAGCCATTCTCCTCCACAGTACTCCTTCGATACAGAGATTTTTAACCATTGTTCACTCCATATGAGAATAAATTCCGAATATGTAAACATATAGTTCCAGACATATTTGAGAATTATTTGATAGCAGTAATACTAAAAGGTAAATGATATCACTGTAGTTACATGGAAGTTAACATGAATCTCCTAGTGTCAAGAGAACATATCTGTTGGACATATGTAAGAGCTCTTTCTATTCATGAGGACCCTTGCCCAGCTGACCACAACTACCCTATGTCTGGGAAGTCATTAGTCAAATCCCTTGCTCTGGTATTATGCCAAGGGCATTCCAAATCATTCCCAGGGGCATTCAAACCATTGTATTTTTCAAAGCACCCAGGCTTGTAAACACAAAAAGATCACCTAGTCTTCAAGCACTGCAAATCCAGAAAGCATGTTGAAATATTTAAATGCATTGCTGATGCCCACAATCCTATTTACTGTCTGACTTAGGAGAAGTGAATTACCACCTAGTTTTCTATCACTATAGGCAATAGATTTTTATTTACCACTGATCTCATCTACTAACAACACTCATTTCATGTGGCAATATTTCAGCAATTTTGGAAAAGAGAGTCTGCAAATTCAAAAACCTTTTTTTCTCATCAAAGGCAATGTAGGCCGGTTTTTGAGAAGAAGTATCATACTAAAGTCTAATTTTGAATATTTTATCAGACTTTCAATTAAATGTAAGATAGTCTGATATGAGCATGACAGGCTTATGGTATAGTATGTTGATTACAAAGAAAGTTTGTGCTGATGACTACAACCTGTCTTATTCTATCCGTCACAAATGTATGTTTCACGATATAGTCTTTCCTATAAGCCAGACTCTGGTTCCCACTCAGGTCATCTGATCTGGGTCTTAAGAACTGAGTAACCACCTGTGTGACCACCAGTAACCACCTGTGTGACCAGTAACCACCTGTGTGACCACCAAGCCTACAGGTGACACTGACACCGATAAATAACAGGGAGCCTACACAGGCTACTGTGCTACTCAGTCGCCTTTTATTAACGCAGGTTCACTCAGCTTTTATTAATGCAGATTTAATCAAAACCTATAATAACTTAATAGCAATAATAAATAAATAAATAATTATATCTAAGTAATAGAAATAATCACTAATAACATCACACAAGAGAATTGGGGGATAAAAAATCCAAGTCCCAAAGTCCCAGTCTGCATGTCCAAGAGACAGCACAGTAGGCAGGGGAGCTATCAGCATCTTATAAGGCAGAATCTTTAGAGCCCAGAGCACAGACAGCAATAGGGCAAAGGAAGCTCTTGGTCCACCAGAGCACAGCCTCTGGCAGCACGGCAGTCAGGACATCAGCATAGTGTGGAGCAACACCTTGGTGTGTGGATCTCAACTGTCCAAGCAATGATCTGAAGTCTACCTCAGTTACATCCTTGAGGGTTGTATACTCCACCCCTCTAGGTCTCTTGATAAGTGTCTTGGGACCCTTGATGGTGAGTGGGGAATTTTCATAGGAGCCTGTCTCTGGGTGGTCCTTCCTTGTAGAAACAGTTCTTCTGTTCATATGTACAGATATGTTAAGCATGCATCCTTACCAGATATGTCTGGCATGATTTAGGTAGTTTCCTTGTTGAACCAAAGTGTCATGACTGACTGGCAGCCATCTTGGCCAGCACGAGTGATGTCATTTAATTTTATACACTTTATCCTATCTTGACCAAACCAATGTCATTTTGTTTGCCCTGCTCTCACATTATCATGCTTAGTACCATTTTAAATAAGTAATCTTTGGAATTAGTACAGCTTGATAATAAAGAATTCCATACTGCCAATCCCATCATAGAAAAGGAACTCATATTTGTTAAAGGTCTAGGCTTCTTATCACATTATCTCAACTAAATCTTAAAGCAACTATATGAGATACATTGTGGTGATCTCTGATGAAGTAATCAAGATCCAGAGAGGTCAAATAGTGCATAAATGACAGAATCAGGATTTGAACACAGATAATGGTGACCTCAAAGCCCTTGTTCACAATGATTACATCTATGAATTTTTTAGCTGGTGAATTTCTAAGATTCATTGTACATACCTTTAAGTTGATTTCAACATTCAAATCCTTCACTCTTCTGCATCATCACATATTATACATCTGGCTTTCAAGTAACTCAATGTAAACTTAAAAGTAGTTTAAATACTAGTGACCCAATATGTGAGAAGCTTGGACATCACCTGAGAGTTTATTAGAAACATAGACTCTTAGGTAACACCCTGCACCTCCTAAATGAGAAACTGAATGGTAACAAGATCCCTACGTGGTTTGTGTGTACAGTGAAATTTGATAAGCACTGGCTTAAATGACAAGAACCTTTATTTGTTCACATAAAAAAAAAGCTAAACTTGGGTGTTCTTAGGGGTAGTTTAACAGATAAATGAAGGAATCGAATCCCAGCCTTCTCCTACTGTTACAGAACCAACCAATGATGTTCTATAATAGCTATGGGGTTTGATTGTCTGCTGCCAAGAAATGTGACTCCCAAGGCAAGAGTCTAGTGAAAAAGGAAAGGGGTTGTTTAGTTAAAGGTCATACAGAATGACAGATTTCTGCTGCTAAGTCCTGCTCCCTTTACAACACCCCCAAATAAATAGCCCTGCCCTCCCTCTGCCAAGCCAGACCAGTTTCTGAATAAATCACTCAGAGGTACCATCCTTCAGAAATGCAGAAGACTGAAGATTAGCATCCTCAGTCCCAGTATAGCTGCAAGCGTCTTTTAAGTCTAGATACATGAACCTGGGTCCTTCTCACAGTGTCTGTTTCTCTCTTGTAGAACTGCCTTTATTCTAGCCATCAGCTCACCAGTGTGTCTCTGTGCTTGGCCAGGCAGGTTCCCTGCAGATCTGCCAGCTCTGCTATTATCTTCTATGTAGGTAGGATGCTGGGGATGTTTCCAAAGGGCCTACAGACAGAGCCACAGACAGACCGACTGACCAACAGGTAGACCCCTAGGCAGACCTCCAGACCTTGTGGCAGACCTTATGTTACTTGCTATACCCAAATTTTTAATGCTTGTCTCAGAACTTCCTGCATGGCCAAACATCCAGATTTTCCTATGGAGCTTTAGAGTCCACCATCTTTGTCAGTTCCCCAGTGTCTCTGACCTTCTTTCAGCTGCCATCTTTAGTTAGGGCAAGAGTTCCCAGCCATGCACATGCACCCAGGGGGCATCTGCCCTCACAGCTCACACAGCTCTGTATGAGCTTCCCCTTGGCTATGTTATGAATCACTCTGCCAGCACACAGTCACATA